TTTTTAACACAAAAGCAACAAAATTAAAAGGGGATCCACTTACTTTGAGAGTAACTTATTCACATCTTAACCATTAATTCTAGTGAAATTCAATTGTTTGAATTAGTGAATAGATCTAAATCATTAGATTTCCCTATAATTGATTAATAAGATGTGGAGTAAGTTCAAAAAACTTAATCTTATTAATGTTCATTACCATTACTGCCATAAAAATGAAACCTTCCAAACCCTTAGTATAGAAATTAAAGGTCATAATTAGCATGTAATTTTTTTTATCATTCAGTAAAAAAAAACCAAATTAACACACCAAAATAGCTCAGGGTATCAAAAACAACATAAAATGGCTAAGTTTCTATATATTGATTTGGTAAAACGACATCCTTTAGCTAGTTTCAGCATGTAAATATTAAAAAAATCCATGTTGATACTTTTTTTGGGACAAATATGGCATAAAAGCATTGGTTTACGGGTTGATTTTTTTGGTAAGGAGAGAGAATGTATTCATCATCCTATAAATTTCATATTTCTGAAATGTTTTATTTTTTATTTTATCCTTTTAAAAACTCAACTTATAAACATACCCGGATAATTAATTAAATATTTACTGACAGATTTTTTAGTCATTTCCACTTTCCACACATTTTAAATTAGTGAATTACCACATGTTGAATGTACCAAACTACTAACTAAAAATTTAAGGAAAATAAAAGTGTTAACTATGTAATATCGTTTATTTCTTACTTTTTTATAACAAATCAAAACAAAGAAAGATAACTATAAAGACTTGAAGTACCCACATTTTCTTTAGTAAATCATGAAGACCTATCAATCCTTACAAATCGAAGCTTTCCGAATGATATAAATAAACTTTAATCCAATTAAAAACTATCACAAAGAAATTAATGTTTGAGATTACAAACACAATTAAGGGGGAAAGTGAGAGAAATAAATATTTGCACTAATAATATATAAGATTTATACAATGTCTTTGTGTCATTCACAATTTATATTTAATTATTATTGACTCTTCGAAAAAAGAAATAAGGTAAATAAATGATGGATGATGAAGTGACTGTGTATAAATCTTTATACTATCAATGTCTAAATATCATACTTAAAAAATAAAAATAACTATAAATTATTTACATCGCGATTGCAAAATTAGTTATAATTAAAAGGATATATCAATTTATAAAACTCCAAATATTAAAAAAAATGCACTTTTCAACCCCAAACAAAACATCTAAATATAATGTTAAAGTTAAGGGTACCCGTGGCATTAAGAAGCACATTAACAAACCCTAATAAAGTTCATTAAGAAACAATATAATAGACTTATACTAAATCCTTTGTTACTAGTAATACTCTAATAAATAAAGGCAAACAAAGCTTAACCATACAAACTTATACAAAGATGTATACAATATGTCATATTTGAACCCAAATATATTAATATTTTTTGATACTATCTGTTCTACAATGACTCATATCTAATAGACCGAACATTTTATCATTGTAGCAACAATACAAGTTATGGGTTTGAGCTGATGTAAATGGTTGAGGTAGATGTATATATATTTATGTTATGTAAACCTAATGTAACAATGATAACAATAGATAAACATAAATAATTATTCTCTAATACACAGTGATAGTTTCTCAATGCTCCCGATGATTTATGCACAATTGGTTGACCCGTCTCATGGTCACTTAGTCATCATGTTTGTATATGTCCTTATTCAAATGTGTATAGAGTACTCACACATTCTTGATCGAAAATATCATTGATTCTCTAATTTTTTCATCATATATACACGATTAATAATATAAATACATATATCATATTACATGTCAAATTATATATTGATAATAATAAATAACATTGAGAAGACTTTATCTAAAATGAGTATGTATTATATTTAATAAGATCTAGGGTCAGGTTCAGGTTTAAAAGCTGATCCGATAGATATTTAGGGTCTGGTTAGCTGCGGGTCTTAGGCAGAGACTGATTTAAGGAAATAACTCGACCAACATTTAGGACCGGGTAAGGGCACCCTAAGTTGAAAAAGAGTTTTAGGACTTTTACATTTTTTTTATTGGTTGGTGTGTTCTTCCAAACACTTTAATGGGTTTGAAAATATTTTTTCTTCAATTAGTTTTTTTTCAGCAAGTTAAACTGTGATTACCTCGATCTGCTAAATAATAATAGTAATGAACTGAACCTGTTTTCTTATTCATTCACCGATACATTTTAATCGATTATTAGATCACATTTTAGCAAATTAATATTAAGGATATGATTAATTTAAGAACGAAAGGGGAAGAAAAGAAAGTTGAAGGAAAAAGAGTTGAAGGAAAGGATATCAAAGATATAATTAAAGAAAAGTGAGATGAAAGAAAATACACATTTATGTATAGCGTATTTAAAATGTCCTCATTATTGATGTATATAATTATTATACAATGTATCAAATTTTTAAATTACAAATTACCTAACTAAATAATTTATTTTAAATAATATTGATTAATATTTTTTAAGTAACATATAAACTAAGTTTAATATAACAATATTTATTTATAAAATTTAATAAACATTATTGACATCATAGTGTCTAAAAAAATATAACTTATATTTAACAATCAATTTTATAATTCTAATTATCTCACTTTCACATATTTGCGTTTTGTCTTTTCTAATTTATTTGTTATTTGTCATTTTCTTGTTAATTTTAAGTAATTATATTCCATTTTTCTTTTCATTCCATTTTTAACATTTATAATACTATTTATTCATAAGCTCAAAACCAACAAACATAAAAATAAGTTAACTATTTTTTCAAACTAAGGAGTAAAAGTTTTTTGTGGGACTCATTCATATTTTTTTCTTTCCCTCTTATTTAATGTTGGATCTTTCCTCTTATTTTCTATTTTCTATGCAACCAAACATAATGTTAGAATGTATTATATGATACATTTTATTCTCTAATATTAATATAGTATCTGACCAAATAAATAGTAAGTGCTAGCTAGCTAGTATAATAAACTTGGATGAGAAAGGAGAAATAATATAGAAAGAATTCACTTATCTCGTTTATAAACATATTCCAGGACGGGACAAAAACATCTATTTGAACCAGAGTTTATTTTTTTTGTTAACAAAAAAAAGTAGTGGTCATATATTGATCTGAGGAGTAATATTTTGGTAGAAAAATAAATCATTTTAAAAAATTATAATTTTAAATAAAAATCAGTCAATATAATAAATATAGTTTAAATGAAAATCGACTATTATAATCAATATTAATCTATATGATATGCACGACTAATATAATTATTATACTATATTGGTATGAGAATTAGTTTAACGTTTAGAATAAGGTTTTCAAATTTATGATTAGAATAAATTACATTCACACCCTCTGAGTTTTAGTGAAATTACACAAATCACCCTTTATTTTTTTGTCATGAACCACCCCTAATTTTGTATATATGTTACACTGACTACCCCTGCCTGATATAAAAGTGTAATATTTTAAACAAAAAACGTATGATGTGTGTAATTAATTAAACAAAATATTGTATATTGTGTAGACAAATTCAAATAATATAAGAGTCAAATCTTCATTATTTGGCTCGCTATAAAATAGTATAAAAGTTATTTAAACATTTCTTTGAAATTTATAATGTATTTTTGAATGACACAAAAATAATAAAAAAACATTCACTTTTGTACTATTTGAAGTGTTACATAATATACAATATTTTGTTTAACTTAATTAGATTCATTACACGTTTTTTCTTTAAAATATTACACTTTTATAACATGCAGTGGTAGTCAGTGTAATGTACGTATAAATCTAGGGGTAGTTTGTGTATGAATGAGAAGTGGTCGGTATAAGGACAAAGAAGAGAGATGTAGTTTATGTAATTTCATTAAAACTCAGGGGGTGTGAGTGTAATTTACTCTTATGATTATTATTATACTGTTACGTTATTAATGGTAAGAATTAATAAAGATGATAACTGAAATTAATACAGAGATTATATAAAACAATGAAATAAATAGTTCAATAAAGAAAATATTAATTATATTTCTTCAATAAGTGTTTCATCTTTAAGAAACATTGAAATTCTTTTAACCTTAATTAATTTGTCAATTTCAACCAGTTGTTATAATCCCTTTAATACAAACTTTACAGCAGGACACGTGATGGCCATTACCATAGGGAATCTATTGAAACAGGTTCCCAAGAAACATCATAATATTTTTATTTAAGATTATTAAATATAAAAAATGGATAATAAAAATAACTTTTATATTATCCATAGATATATTTTTGAGAATAATGTATCTCCTGGTATAAGGAGATAAATTATCTCCTTCAGCCACTATAATCGTGACATATGTATCATTTAATCATTTTCTACAAAAATATTTATAACACTCAAATAATTTTAAATAATATAGTTTAGAGGTAGTTGGCCTCGAACTCTCAAAGGGCATAAAAATCATAGAAAACTCCTCGGATTCCTTTTCAAAGTTCTCTATATATAACTAAATAAAAACTTTATTTTACATCATACACAAGGGATATAGGTTTTTCAAAGTGACCTAAGGTCCTTTGACTACTTGTTTTGGCCTGTTTAAGAAGGGTTTTAGTTTTCATTATATATTCTATGCAGTTGCAGATCTGAGATATCATGCTTTATGTTTAGTTGTTTTATTTTTGGATGATGATGAAAGCTTGATTCTGTTAGTTTCCCATATGCAGTCTTGTGTTTTGAACCAACTTTGAGGTTCAGAAGTTTTTTGTGTCTTTTGGGCATGTTCATATGTTACTATGAACTTTATATGATTAGTTTTTGTTTCTTTATTTTCTCCACCTTTTGGTATTTTTCTTTGTTGATTTGAAAGAGGTGGTTAATTATAGTTTGTTGGTGCATGTAATGAATTTGTATTGGTAGGGTTTTGATGTTATGATTAAGTTAAAGTTAAAAATGGTGATGAAGTAGAGCTCCATGAAGTCCAATGAAGGTTCTTGCTAGGTTGATTATGCTGCTAAGTTATGGATCCCATAGTTCTACACATACTATACTTTTGTGGTAGTTTCTATGGCTTCCATAACTTTGGAGCTTTATTACCTATGGTTAGATCATTATTTGGATTGAAGGGAGCTCTAAACCTTTCTCCATAGTTATTTGTTTTCAAATCTTTATTTGTATAATGCAACATTCTTGATGATCTCTTTCTCTTACTAGGATCATGATTTGTGATATTTGGTGTGACCAGGCCAAAGGATATTGGGTATTTGCATTCACAGATGATGAGGTAGAATATTAACTACATTAATGTGAATGTACTTTTGTTTTTTTAATTTGTTTAGTTGTCATGAATCTAGAGATTACAATAAAAAATGAATGATTCTATTACTGTGAGTGACACTTGTCGGAAGAAATATCTACACACTTAAAAATTAATTAATTTCTTATTAAAATGGTGAAGAAATCCCATTAGTATATAGTACCAATTTTTTTTTTTTTTGAGTTTTACCCTGAATTATTCTTTTAGTTCTTCTATAGACAAATTATATATGAATGTAATAGTTATGTATGATCGTTCAATTTTATCTCTTCAACAAGTTTAGTAATGAGCATAACGGCCCTATTGTTCCGATAGAGAGAAGAGTCTATGATTAGCTTTTCAGGAAATTTCCAAACGAACAATTTCAACGAAATCTTTCAATTTCTTATTTTACTATGTTCAACTCTATGTATTCCTCTATCCGTAGAGTATATTGAATGTACAAAAATGGCTATAACAGAGTTTCTGTTATCGGTATTAATTCACAATTAATTTATTTGTATTATTTCTGTAGAGAACTCAATGTTGGTTAAATATAGGCAGTATATGATACAATACTGATATGTAAAAGTCATAAACAACAAGTGTATATATTTTTATATCTCATTATAAATATTGTAATATATGTGCATTATTAATATAAAGATACACAATTACTATATTATCTAATGTTCATTTTAATTATATTTTTAACAGTTAATAATAATTGAGTGAGACCTTATCCTACTAAATCATGTTTGCTGTGGGTGGCACTCTCTTTTTTGTAACTAAATAAATTAGAAGAAAGGTTGAATTTTTGTAGCTCTTGATATTATGGATGTGATTTAAATATATGACAATGACGATATTTAATAAGATTGGAATTTGGATCCTCAAATAAGAAGCAAGTTACCAATAGTCCAAATGTGCAAAACAATATGTAATATGCAAAGACAGTGAATGAGTGTAATATGTATATAATTGAAAATATAAAGATTTATATTTTTAAATGTCATATATTATTTATTTGTATTATTTTTTAATTAGTTAATGATGAATAAGTCAGGAACAATATATAAAATTCATATATTTGGTGAATATATTTTTTCTCATTAGTTATTATTAATAACTTATGATTTGTATGTAGGTAGACTAAGTAATTGTGATTGACCATGAACGTAGATTTGTAAGGAAATTTTTGAAATGTTCTTTGTTAAGAAACCGTAAAACTAAAGAAAAATAATGGTTTCCATGAAGATGTATAAATATGTACCCAAAAAATTTTGTAACACCAATATATCTTCTTATCATATTGGAACTGATATTTGTTGGGGTGTGTAACTATTTCTCTCAACAATTATTGCTCCCGACAATCAAACATTTAACATTTAACATTTTGATCATCTTTTGATCTAGCACTGCTTTACACAATTAGATTAACATCGTGTTGGTTACAAATTCTCAAAAACACTCCATCAAGAGTTCAGTGCCTATCCTTCATAAATATATTGCAAAATATTCACTAGCTCACCTTTGACAAATTTTAATTTTTTGTCACACTGCATGTTTAAGGTACATGCAAACTATCTAAGGAATGCATGGAGTATGGACAAATTCTTTCAATGCATGAAGTACTTTTTTGAATTATTAGTCCTGAAATTAGTATAGGTGATTTATGAACTTATATCTTATGTCACTACAACATTTTTTGTCTATGGCAACGCCTTCATCCTAACGGCTTGAAAAACGTGGTCTTAAAACACAATAGACAATGGTTTTAAAACTGTTGCCGATTAAATGTATTGGACCACAGTTTTTATATCGTTGTCATAGATTCTCTCAAAATCGTGGCCTATTACACTTAAGACCATATTTTTGTACCGTTGTCATAGTTGTTTTGAAAACTGTTGTCATATTATACTTAAGACCACGATTTTATACATGTTGCATATTCTTTGTAGGGGAGAAATCCACTTACTCCTAAAAACACTTACTCTTCATCTTAGCCATCCAATCTTGAAAAATTCAATGGCTTAGATGTACTTACCAATTCAAACCATTGGATTTCCCAAGAATGAATGATCACGATGTGGAGTAAGTATTTTTCCACTTACTCTTGGAGTAAGTGGATCTCTCCCATTCTTTGTAATGGCAACAGTTCTTTCTTACTTTCAATAAATTAATTTATTATCCATTATTTTATAAAATTAACACAAACACTTCTTCTTTCACTCACGTTCTTCTTTCATTATCTCCTTTCACTTCTCAAACTTCTTCTTTCACTTCACTTTTTACCGCACTTCTTCTTCTACTCACGTTCACTCTTTACTCACGTTCTCATTTCATTATCTCTTTCTCTCACGTTTGCTAAGGGGTTCGTTTCACTCATGATTTGGACTCAATGTAGGGTTTAATTTGGGGGTTGTGTTTGATTATTGGTGAGATTTAGGGTTCTATTTGATTTTGGAGTTTGTTTGATTTGGGGGTTTTCTTTGATTTGGGGTTTTAGGTTCTATCATGATTCTCCGGCCTTGAAAACCATGTTTTCAGTTTTAGATTTTTAGTCATTTTCTCCTTGGTTCTATCATATACATTGGGAGACATATACTTACAAATTTTTCAAGTAGGTTTTTATAGCTTTCTTTCTTATTTAGATCATTCTCAAAGGAGTTAGTTGGGTGTTGATTTAGTATCTTTTTTGTTTAAGCAACAAGTGCTAATGTTGGGGGTTTATGTTATGTTATTTGTGGCATTCAATTTGTTTAGCTTGAACCTGGATGACTTGTAACAAATATTCATGGTTGGGGTGATCTTACACATCTTATATAGATATTTTCAGGGTCATATGTTCATCTTCCCTGTACTGTATTGATTTCTTATTTCAATAATTTAAGGTTTGTAATTGATAACTCTAAGATATTTCCTATTTCATCTTCCCTTCTCTATTGGTCGTTCCTTCCATCAACATGTTGTGGCTTATGAATTTTATCTTGACCCAAACATTGGTTCTTCTTTGATCAATTTCTATGTCAAATTTGACTTCTCTGATGTTGCTCCCCAAGTGTTCGACTATATGCCTCATAGGAATGTTGTCCCTTGGACTACCATTATGGGGTGCTATTCACAAATGGGCAGTGTTGATGAATGATGAGGCATTTTATTTATTTAATCAAATGTGTACCGAAGGGATTCGACCCAGTAGCATAACAATGTTGATCTTGCTGTTTGGAGTTTCAGAGGTTGTTCATGTGCGGTGTTTGCATGGTTCTGCAATTTTGTATGGGTTTGTCTTTGATATAACTTTGCCGAATTCTATTCTTAATGTATATGGGAAATGTGGAAATATTCAGGATTCTAGAAAATTGTTTGATTTCATGGACCAAAGGGACATTGTTTCGTGGAATTCATTGGTTTAACTTGGTTCCAATATTTTTTTAAAGTTTTAAGTAAGTCTTTATTAGAAGCTTAAGGTGTTGCGAGCAAATCAACTTTTCAAGTCAATTGCAAAGAAATTTTGCAGCAATCTTAGGTTTGCTTACTGGTAATTCTCATATTAGTCTTACATTGTCTCTCATTTTAGACATGATATCTTTGCCCCAAGGAGGCTTATGTGGTGTGAAACAAATACATGTTATAAGTAGCTGGTTTTGTGAGTACTTGTTCTTGTTGTTTTTTTTAATCCTACTGTTTGGTGGGAAGTATTGATAATTTGTACTTGTGTAAATCTTGTTTAGGAAGTATTGATAATTTGTATAAGAGCATTTTATTGTGTGTTAGTAGTTTTGTAGATACTACTATATGTTGGCCTAATTTTTTTTAATTTATATTGATGCAGCAAAATCATTTGGAAGACAAATTGCCGCATATAGTACATGAAGACGAATATGTAGATTGGTCGTCATAATTGAAACATGAAGATTTCCTTTTTAAATTAGAATTAGATTTTGTTGAACAATAATGGAAACGTAATTGTATGTCTTTTGTAGTATCTTTTTGACAAATGCTTATTAATTTATATATATTAAGTACTTTTGTCATATAATAGCGACGCTATATGTTAAATGTGATGTTTGACCAAAAATTATGTGTGATATAATGACAAAATTGTTTTTAAACATGAGTAAATCAATATTGTATAAAATGAGCAAAGAAAACGGTTTTAAAGCCATACTACTACAGGCAAAAGTTTTTTAGCCGTTGTAAATGAGCTTATTTGAAATGAACAAAGACAACGGTTTTTTTGCCGTTGTAAATGACCAAAGGCAACAATTTTTTCCTTTTTCTGCAGGCAATGGTTTTTAACCGTTGTCTTTACGATGGGAAAAAATCGTTGCCTATTTAAAACATTAGACAACAGTTTTTAAAAAGTGTTGCCAAAAGTAAAAAAACTGTGGCCTAAACCAAAGGCAACGCCTCAGACTATCACAGTTAAAAAATCGTTGTCTTTGACAAAGAGAACGATTTTTTGACTTTTGGCCACGGTTTTCAGCCGTTGCCGTTGGTCAAAAATGTTGTAGTGTGCATCTAATGATGCCTTAGAAACCTATAGAGTTTTTAGAAAATTTGAATGCTTTTGTCCTTGCATTGGTGAAGTACTCGGAAAAGAATCTTCTCAAAGTACCTAATAGGCAAATTGCTAGTTTTAAACTTGGGTTGAAATGTAAAATGTCATATCATTACATTTTAAAAATAAAATTAACAAATCATTATATTTTTCCATACTATTTTTTATATACATGCCTATCTTAAAGAGAATTGCAAAAATTGTTGAAATAGTTGTATTTTATATTTTGTATAATCGATTAACCAATACTGAATTACAACTATATAATATCTAGATAATCAATTAAC